TTCAGGAGCGATTTTCCAAAGAATTATTCAGTTACAGTAGAATTATTTTATTTAGAATTAGTTGTGTTCCTTCAGTTGGTTTGTTTAATTGCGAAGCTTTTGTCTTCCTGCTGGACAACTTCTTCAGCGCAAGTTTTAGCATATAATGAATTGATTTAAATTCTTCATGAATGATAGGATTCAATACTCAAATATACGAACAGATAAATGGGGCACCCAGAGGATCGCCCATATCATGATTAGTAGCTGAATCAGTCACGCAAAGATTAGAATTAGTAACTTTACCCATAATTAAACCAAAAATCTGGGTACATTACGTTCATGGTACATTTGTAATAATTAAAACAAATGATTTGGAATATACCCACGAATTAATAAACAACATATGTGAAGACATTATATTCACAAGAGAAGAACAATTAGGTAATAAAATCCCATTTTTAGATGTTTTAATCATGAGAACTCACACAGGAAATTTAGAAACACAAGTATATAAAAAATCAACGCACACAGACCAAAGACTCAACTATAGTAGTAATTACCCAATTGTTCACAAAAGTTGTGTACAGACATTATTTAAAAGAGTTCAAACACACTGTAGCACTCCGTTGTTGAAGAGAATGGAAGAAAAATACTTAATAACCGTCTTCAAAAAGGAATGGATATCCTCACAATTTCATCAAAGTGTTTAAAACTGAGTCATAACACCAACAACAAGCCAACATCAAAGACCACAAGAAAATCCATTCCATCATATACAAAAACATCTCTGAAATAACAGCTAGAATATTAGGACCGTTTGAAATAAATATAGCACACAAGCCATCCATCCAGCTAGCCAGCGTAATCACTTCATTCGATATTGTGCAAACAAAAAGATCAAACAGAAAAAGAAGATAAAATTAATACCATTTACAAAATGAATTGCATGCATGAACTGTAATAAACATTACATCGGTCAAAGTTGGCGTCCCCTTCAAATACGAATTGAATACAAATTAGCTGTAAAATGACATGATATATATTCCTTCGTATCAATGCATGTGGATAATTATGGACGCCAATTTGATTGGGATAATGTCGAAATTTTAGACAGAGGAAACACTAAAAGTGCCAGAGAATTCCTAGAAGCCTGGTATTCGAGTGAATCAGCGATTAACAAACATATTAATACAGACCAGATGTATCGGCTAATAAAAAGTAAATCACATGACAAGAAAGTTCGAATTCTAAGTCAATAAAAATATGATCGATAGAGACCTAAATCAACAACCAGTCACAACAGTGGTTGCTAGGAGATACAATTACATCATTCGTGGAGATTTTAAATCAGTTCATTTTATGCTAAAACTTGCGCTGAAGATGTTGTCCAGCAGGACGACGAAAGCCTCGCAGTTAAATCAACCAGCTCAGAGAACACAACTAATTGCAAATCATCCACCTGAGCTACAAATCTTCTCTATTACTTCAGAATTATTTCATTTTATTGTGTGTGTGATAGCGTCACATATTCATGGGAAAAATGTAATTAAGCTCACTTGTACTAATTAAATACCTGAATTGTAAATATTTTCAATATTCTGTGGTTTCATTATTACACATGTAAAATGCGAAACGAAACAGCACATGATGATGATATTATGATTCCGTTAATTTTCTTTATCTTATCCAAACCTAATAACTATTATTTCATATATAACATACTTATTCTATTCCATGTTACAGTATGGTTATTTTTGGGGATTTATTCAGGCAAATAGAATTATAACGAATAATATAACATGTATTCTATTGAGAATAGGATATTATTTCCTTTACATTATTATGTATTAACCTTTGCTTAATAATAACAAAATAGGATGCGTTGTCCCACACACACCTTGTTTTTTTTTCAATTCTTTCCCACTTGTAATTACTTGTTTTATGAGTAACCATTATTTTTTAATTTCAGAAAATAATATTTTGCTACAGACATTTAATTCCTTAGGGATTTTAAGCTTATAATGAATTATAGTTGTGCGTTGTATGAATTGTATGTGATAATATAACAACTGTGTGGTCATAGTTAACGGACACTGACTCATAAGAGGTACCCATTAGCATAACCTGTGTATTTTCTATTGCACAGCATTTTGACTTGAAAAGAAATGTGCGAATCTTCAACAGAAGAGATGCTAAAAGCACCGGAGAATTCCCAGAAACCTAACACTCAGATAAACCTACAATCTTCATGTATTCGTTTACAGGTTTGATTACGAGATGAAATCAGTTAAAGATCAAATGTGTGACCAATCAAGTCCCTGAGAAGCAACACATGAAAATTAGTCCGATGCTCACTAGCTACTGCTAATATACAGGCAGTTACCTGGAGTTCTAGTAGGGACTCATGACTGGAGGGCTTAAACTAGTCAGGTAAGAGAACACTTACTCGCTGATGACATTAAGTGGCAGTTCCTTCGTATACTATAGATCACGGATTGATAGGAGTTGCGATTCATGGACGATTGGATCGGGTCCCAGGGGATGAATGGTCTAAGAGCTCGCCTCGCAATTAAACCATTTAGACCACAGAACTGAACAGCACTAGAAAGGAATACTGTCCATTATCATTCATCTACACCCTAAATCTCCTACTGCTTTGTTTTTAGTGGCCGACCTAACTACTCAATGTTTCTAAATCATCTATAACACCCTGCATCAATTTTATTATTAACTTTCTGTATTTACTTCCTAAATAATCAAATGGTTAAAAGTCCTTTATTTCAGAATGTGGATATTCTAATTGTGAATTGATGGATTTCTAATGACTTTCATTCATGATTTCTGTATGCCTTCATGAAGACAGTAGACAGCATATTACTGAAATGTCATAGAATATGCTGTAGACATAAAGTGTGCACTGAAAAATTTCAGAGACTTGGAGCTTCACTAGAAGTATTTCCATCACCTGCCTTCCTTTGATACTGGTCTGTAGGGAAGGATAAGCATTGAGGAATTCTGGCAGTTCAGTAAACTAGCCAAGAACCCATTGCCTAACTAATGCACAGAAGGATATGGAAATGGATTAGTCATGCGTTGAGGAAACCGTTGAGTGACATCACTTTGCAAACCCTCTACTGGAACTCGAATGAGAAAAGACGGGTTGTCTGTGTGAGGGTGACATAGTGGGAGGTAGTGTAAGGAGGAAATGAAAGCTTCTGGGCGACCTTGAAGCCAACTAAAATGGACTACAGCAAACACAGTGAAACGCAGATATGCATCGGTGAGCATTTGTCCTCACTCCCAATAGCATGTGCCACACTGATTACGATTTTTCACTAGAAATCCAAGAAACTCCATCCTGTAGCCAGTCTCTAGCGAGCATCAGATTATTTTATTTTTATTTTTGATTACAGCTTGATGCCACACTGTATTTTCAGTACAAGTATGGGATTTTCACCATAGATATCGGGAACCCAAATTTTGCAGGCCGACCATAGATATCGGGTGTGCGTCGGCAGGGGATCGAACCCCGGACCATGTGCATGGTCGGCGAGAGTCCTAACCACTGTGCCACAGACGAGTTGATCATGGATTGATATCAGTTAGAGAACCATTGAAAACCAGGGAGTACCTGACAGTTGTTTCGTTCTACGGGTTTGTCTTGTAACTGAAAGGTCCTGGCTTCGAAACTTGGTAGATGCGTGCTCTCGATGAGTCCCAAACTAGTGGGACGAAACAACTGTCCAGTTCACCCTGGTTTCTAATAGTCCCCTAACTGATATCGATTTGTGGTCACACTTGAAAAACAAATCAAAACCCTGCTAGAGTTGATTTTCTTGAAAGTTATCTGAGTAACTTTTTTTCCATTCCCTTAGATACGTATATTTTAGTAAGTATAATCTGATTTAGCATAGGCATTTTATGTATTAAGCATTTGACAAATCTAGTAAAAATAACATTATGTCCACCTTAGCCTAGTTATTAGCTGTACACTTTAGCCAGTTATAGGCTTGATGATAATTCCCATAGGTCTTAATTACATCTCAAAGATAACAAGTAGCAAAAAAATTGTGACATTTTTATAATGTTATATATAATAATAATAATAATAATATATATCTTAAGAGATGAACTATTGTCAGTTTAGTCCTTTAAAGGCATTACTTTGCATGTATTCCTTCGTCTCTCTCTCTCTCTCTCTCACTTGATATCCATGTATGTTATGCACTAGTCAATTGGATAAAGATAGACTTAATGTCATATATTGTCATGTTCCATTTTACTGTCTATACACAATGTAAGCTTCATAATATCTTAGCCTACACACACAAGTGTACACAAGTATACCTTATGAACAATGACACGAACATCTTTACATACCTACAACCTTCAAACTCTATGTGTGTGTGTGTGCATACAAACAAATTCTTTGTTGTATTTACGTGTGAACACATCAACTGGAACTGCCTTGTGTATGCATTTATCTGCTTATCAGCTGTTGCTGTCCTCTCTTACTTACATTGGTTGTTTTATTTTTCACATAAGAGATTTACTCTAACCTGTGGGATATTATTATAAATACTGTTTGACATCTGATTCCTGTTTCCACTGTCTCTCCTCACCCTCTCTCTCTCTCGCTCATTCTTTCTCACTCTAGTCCATCTGAGAATTCTACATATGTATATGGTGTTGTATATAATGTTATTATTACTAATATTTTAATATTAATACATATTAATAGTTTTAATGAAAGGGGGTTTGTTTTATGGTGTGACACACAGTGGACATTTAAAACTAGACGACAAACTCAGAATGTAGAAGAAGTATGTGTTTCCTAATTTCTGTTGTGTGTGCTTTCTAGCTGAATACATGTGCACAGTGTGTATGTCTGTCTTTACATACGTTGGTATCTATGTTTGTATGTTTGTAGTGAAACTGTTTTATCCTGTGTGTTTTTTATTGTCTCTGTCTTTTTCTTTTCTTCTTCTATTTCTGGTATGATGACGACTGCCCAATAGGACACAATTGGACGTATTCATAACAGAGGACAGAAAAAAAAGAGTAATGAGCAGGAACTTACGCGTATTTATTTTATTCAGTTATGTATTCATTCAGTTATCAGACATAAAATAACAATCATGGTCACATATAAGATATTTATATATTAACAGTATTAATTAATAAATATGCATCATTTGTGATTACTGTTGCTGAGATAACATTATCATGATCACATTACATTTATCGGCGTTATCACTACTACTCCACTGCCCTGTTCTTATCATGATTACAAGGAATTAATTAATATATCTGGAAATCAGACTGTTTTGAATATATAGACATTTAAATTTAAATTGGTAAGTCATAATTACTATATTCATGTATGATTTGATTAACTTTTCACCTATGAAATTATGGTTAATGTGAGGAGTAGAATTTGATCATTCTGATAGAATATAATTCCAAATTATAGATAAGTTTATCTGATATAAAAACACAGTGATACAGTAGGAATAACTAGATGACATTTTGACCTTTCAATCGGATAGATTCGATTAAGAGAAACAATATGATTTACCAAATACCATGCAATGACTATGAGGTCATATACTTAGGTCAAACTAGTAAACTGATAGGAATATGATTCATGAATAATCCCCATCCAGATAATAGTGAAAAACAAAACACGTAGTTAAGCGAAGAATCTTTTTTGGGCGAATTCAACTAAACTGCGTGCTGCTGCTGAGCCCCAAACTAGGACGAAACAGCTGTCCAGTACTCCCAGGTTTTCCAGTGGTTCTCTAACTGATGTCAGCTCATGATGAAATCCTCCACGCAATCGCAGTTATATTCAATTATTTTTGTATGTGAGTGTACATTGGTTCATTGGTCTGAAGATCTCTCATTTGACCACTTCTATGTGTATATTATCAGTCCACCTGTTGCTGTGCAACCAGGTACCAGGTACACTGGTCGTTCGACATGTATCCTTTCCAGAAGGGTTCAAGAACACCATCCCGTATGGCTGTAAAAAGATAGTAATGGCTCTTTAAGGAGTGCAATAATCGAACACCTTGTCAAGACTAACCATTTCATCTCAACAAATGCCTCTTCCAAAGTAATCTACAGAATGAAGAGTAACCTGCTAAAGGCAATACGCTTTCGTTTCCTTTGTATTGCTGAACCTTTAGCCATTCATTTGGAAAAGCCAGAGTTATGCATACAAGAGAAAATCATTCAACCAGTTTTATTATCATGGCAACAACCGTGTTCATTTCTACTGACTTGATGTTTGTGTTCCTGCTATTCTAAATCCTTATAACTGTTGTATTTCTTAACAACTCTTACATAATTCTATATTTTTCTTTGTTTCTATGTACATCCTAATTAAAACTCACTCATTAGACTATTCCTTTTATGACGTGACTACAATACACTTATTCAACTTCTCGTATGCACTGACTAACTTTGACAACTATTTTGTGACAACTCATCATCCATACCCTAAAGTCAATCTTTACCCCCTAGTTACAATTTGATTATTCATCACATTTTTTGAAATATTTCAATGACGTAAACAACAACCCTAAGTAATTTTTATTCTTGTCTGAACAAGCCTAATTTACAAATGAAATATTTTTTAAAAATTTTTTCCTTGACGTTCCCAGTGGAACATAGGGCTTCAAGCTAGAGGCTTGAAGTTTCTATAGCAGTGTTTACATTTACAGGATGAGGTTGCTAGCCTCACGCCCAACCTTCTCCTGGTTCGGCAAGGTAAAGAGGTGCGTCGGTCGGGGATCGAACCCCGGACCATGTGCAAGGTCGGCGAGCGTCCTAACCACTGTGTCACCGATGCCCACACACATAAAATAATTATAAATAATTGCGATGGTACAGCTAAGTACATGAATTCACCCAAAAGAGACTCTTCGCTGAACTACATGTTTTTTTATCAGTAAGATTATCAGAACATAGGAAGTCAACTAGATCAAGATTGATTGTTTCTGACAAGTGAAATCATCTAGAAAAAAAAAGCTTGGCGACTGCGATACATTCATTTGTTTGTAATCATACAGCAGAGTGAAAGTGTTAAGAAGTAATAAAGTTAGGTAGAGAGAGAGAGGGATAGGTCATCGAATCTTTGTCCATCGAATCCACACCAAACACGTGCAATCGAAATGACGATGCAACGCCTATACTAAATGTATAGCAAAATTACAATAAAACACTGCAGGGAGTAATATTATCTTAAGCAAAGCAGTGTGAATGCATTGATATGATTATGAGCAATAAATTGTGTTCGAAACGTCATCCAGTAATTAAGCATGTTTCACTACTTGTTATATCAAATAAACTTTTGTAATATGAAATTGAATTATGTTGTCGGTAATTTCATGGAATTATTCTTACCTTTGAAATAATAGAGATTTGTAGCTAAGGTGGATGATTTGCAGTTAATAGTGTTCTCTGAGCTGGTTGGTTTGGTTGCGGAGCTTTCGTCGTCCTTCTGGACAACATCTTCAGCGCAATATTTAGCATATTGGGACAATGTCAAAATCTTAGACAGAGGAAACACCAAAAGTGCCAGGGAATTCCTAGAAGCCTGGTACTCAAATGAAAATGCAATTAACAAACACGTTAATATAGACGAAATATACCAACTAATAAAAAGTAAATCAGGTGACCAGAAAGTTTAAAATCCAAGTCAATAGAAAATGGTCAATACCTATGTAAAGATGGTTACCGGGAGACGCAATTCTATCGCTCATGAAGAAATTGAAATCACTTCACTTTATGCTAAATATTGCGCTGAAGATGTTGTCCAGAAGGACGACGAAAGCTTCGCAATTAAACCAACTAGCTCAGAGAACACTATTAATTGCAAATTATTCTTACCTTGTCTAGTCACTTTTAATAGAGAGATGATTTGCCCTCTGTAATGTATGCACAATAATTCTAACTATCAGAAATCAAGCAGTCTTCAGTTTATTTTAGTTCATAGATATAATAGTGGGTAATAGTAGGATTTCTTGTATAAATAAGATGAGATAAAATAATTTGAATAAAACGTTTCTGAGTGAAAAACAAACTGGAGTTGTTTAAATTTTTTAAAATCTTATTAAAGCCATACATGATGTAGTTTGTTGTTGCGGTGCTTCTTTGGTTATCTGCATGCATGCGATGTTTATAGGATAAGTATAAATTTTCAAGAATTAGTTTGTAGGGACTCTATTTGTTTCAGGTTTGACTATGGATTGACATCAGTTAGAGAACCATTGAAAACCAGAGAGTACTGTACTGGACAGCCGTTTCGTCCCAGTTTGAGACTCACTGGCAGTACGCATCCACTGTGTTTGAAACCCACAACCTTCCGGTTACAAGGCGAACTCGGATGTCATTCAGCCACTGGGACCTGATTCAATGGCGCATGAATTCTAACTTCTACTGAATCGTGATTTATCGCGACCACCAACCAATATCATCAGTGGGAACTCCATCCTTACTCCCGACTGGATGTACCCCACTGGTCACTTCTCACAAATTGGTGGAAGGTAAAATTCATGGGCTGGCCATTGAATCGGGTCCCAGTGGCTGGATGGTATATGAGCTTGCTTTGTAACCGGAAGGTTCTGGGTTCGAAACGTACTGGTTGCGTACTGCTGATGGGTCTCAAACTAGGACAAAACAGCTGTCCAGTATAGTACTCTCTGATTCTCAAGGGTTCTCTCTCTCTGTGGTCCAACCTGAAATATATAGAAATAACATTTCTGACCTGTTAAATTAACTCAGCACTGTTGTGCAGTATTCGTATGCGTCAGTCAAACAGAAATAAAATAAGAATAAAAGTAATCAAGTTTAAAAAAACACAAGTGAAGGTAAGCTGATCGAGACCATAAGTAGAACAGATATTGTAACAGGATTTCACCATGAGCTGACATTGGTTAGAGAACCATTGGAAAACAACCTCGGAGTACTGGACAGCTGTTTCGTCCTAGGCTGGGACTCTTCAACAGTGTGCACCCACTGGGGTTCAAACCCAGGACCTTCTGGTTACAAGGTGAGCTCGTAGACCATTAAGCCACTGGGGTCCGACACAAAAGTCCATGAATTCCAACTTCTGCCAATTCGTGATATACTTAGCGCAACCACCAGCTTATGTCATTGACGAGTAACTGTCCTCACACCCAACCTGCTGCACCCTACTGATATTGTAACAGTTGGATACTACAACCTTTTTTCTGAAAGAGTGTATATACACCTTTCAGTCGAATTGAGTGGTTCAAAGTTCAATTTTAATTAACGATAGCTAACTATAAAATAAAATCTATTGTGAAACTAATCAAAATCTCTAAATCAACACTAATTAATGGATAGATGTCCTGAGGTTATAACGAGAAGTTGTGACCAGTGGAGCCACTATGTTAGGATGAAGTGGAGATTCACTGATGGTATAAGTTGTCAGTAGTGGTATACAGGGAATTGACAGAAGTTAGAATTCACAGGTCATTGAATTCCAGTATGGTGGCTGAGTGGTCATCGATATTAGCCTCATAACCCGAAGGTCGTGAGTTCGATTCTCCGGGAAGACAATGGCTGCGTACTGCTGAAATGTTCAAAAACTAAGAAGCAACGGTTGTTCAGTGATCCCTGGTTTTCAGTTATCCTTTAACTCTTAATGGTTACTGATGAAATCTACTCTGAAATTAAATAAAGTGTTAGTTTTCACTGCACAATTACTAGATGAGTGGGGCATTTGTTAAAGTGTAAAAGCCCCATTTCTTTAACAGAATCAATATTCATATAAGTTGATATGCTTATGGATACCTGTTTGGCTTCAAAGTAGTGCCCATCATGACTTGTTATCACTTCAAATCACATTGTAATATAGGAATTCTTCAGCAGTAAACACCCATAGTTTCATGCAGAAACTAATCTAGAAACAATGATTTTCTTAGGAAGAATGATGGCGCCCACTCACTGGGACTTCAAAAAATGACTGCATTTGAATGTAGATCTGTGTATATTCTGTTGTGGAGTTATGACTAAAAGCCAATAAGCTCCTTCGTTTTCAGTGGCTCCTATAAGTGACATCAATTAGTAATGATTTCAGTTTATTTACCCATTAGGTTGTTCAACAGAATGTTTCCTGGTTTCTTGTAACATGGATGATATTCTCAACATTCATTGCTCCTACCAGATTTTCAGCAGTCGAAATTGGTATCTTTTCAAGTTCTATTTATGTCTGTCGCGCACAAGGCAAAGGAAATAACAAATATAAGGACTATAAGTTTTTCGAATTTCCTATAGTTATTTTAGCTTCAGTGCATCTGTGGTTCTATGGTATAGTGCTCAACAA